GACATTAAATTACAGCAAAGCAATTTTGGCGCAATTAAATGTTTCCACAGAAATGTACGAATCACAATTGGCGCGTGTGCGTAAACTTTTCAAAGTGGGCTAGGGTTTGTTTGTGCTGCTGTTATGCCCCTGACAGGTAAATGATTTGTTTGGTATCGACTACCAGACGTATGTATAGCAACGTGTTTTTATGTTCCTGTTCAAGTTACAGGCCATGTCAACAAGCGAGAACAGAAGGGTGCAGGGACCTTCTAATCCATGCGCAATTCCAATAATACAACAATTATATTGTCATAATTACACTCCTGTGACCTGCAGTTGTGCCTTTTAAACCGTGACCTGGATATGAGTTACTCGCTAGCACTCTATATGTACGGTCGTAATAGTTACGATGAGTTACAGCCCATTGTCGATCCACTGCTGGATGACAACCTCACCACAACCTTTGGTAGTGATCGTTGGTTGACGGGAACGCTATTCAGTCAACAAAAGCACGCTCATCAACAACACCGCGCCAGGAAACTGAAATGGAAGCGACGAACTTTGGATTTCAACTCCAGCGCGCAAACCATTTGACAATGATGTCACGGTGACATCCCAGTTCAAGGTAAATGCCTCGGTTTCAGGGTTGCATTCCTACTGTTCATCCAGAGCAGACTCAATGAGAGCTCTCTGAGAAGACAAGCATGTGTTTTTTTATCTCCATATTCGCGAACATTAAATATGATTTTCATCATCACGCCTCACTTATGGGGAGCAGGATCACGTCGTCCCCACCTCACGGTCAAATTACCTTCCCATAAGTGTGTAATATTGTTCCACAATAACAATACGTGAAGGCGTTCCAACCAAGACGTTCACCTTTCCTCCGCTTTCAATGCGCTATCCGTTACCGTGCTAGGCTATTGAATTAGAGCGGCGACAAGCCTTTAAAAGTCGACAGAAAATGTTCTCCTTTAAGCACTGCATGCTGTTGCTGAGAGGTATTCTTCAATCAGCTGCCTCCTGGTTTAAGATTATATTGATAGTAACTGTTGTTGTTTGCGTGTAAGGGGTCTGCACTCTCTTTGGCTTCGATTGAAGTCCAACTCGGATTCCACCACCCTGTGATCGCTTCCCCTGTTGAATCTGTTGAGTTTGTAGCGACATCTCTCACAATCCACGGTGTGTGTCTGTGAGGATAAAGTTACGTCACTTTGTCCATCTCTTTTATTTCCCCCTTCTCTTTGAAAAAGGCTGTTTTAGTTTGAAGGAATACCCTAACGCTGCCACCCAGTGTTCGATCCCAGGAATTGAACCACAGTTTGGAAATTGAGACGTAGTCTTGTGCAATACCGTACACTTCTGAAATTACCGACTCAGGAAATTACCTAGTCTTAAGAATTACCTAGCTTCAAGGGTCGAAAACAACTATAGTCAATATTCTTAGTTCTTTCGGTAAAGTCACGTTGAAGGGAAACAATAAAATAATAAAATATTATTCCCTTCAACGTGACTTTACCGAAAGAACTAAGAATATTAATTACTGCAGTCACGAAAGCTTTAAATCAAAACTATAGTCTAGTTTGATTGACTTTAGAGCATTTTGGGATTCGGGAGCAAATCGAAGCCCTACCCCACACCCCCACTCCTCCCTCTCCCCCCTTGCCCCTCACCCCTTGTCACCTATATAACCTCTTACCACGGCAACTCTCACTCCCACTTCAGCAAACATTTCCTTGCTGTGGTTTTCCCACCTGATGATGATTGCTTGTGTTGCAATCGAAACGTCGTGATTTAATGTATTTTATTTTATACCTACGTGACTTTAGCGAAAGATCCAAAGAGTATGGATCCCTGCAGCCACGAAGACTTCAAATCTAGATTGTGCAGAGAAAAGCGATGAACGGTGGGAGACAAGACAACAGCAGCCGTTCATCACGAAGTGTGCGAGGAGCACGTCACAAGGCCACGTGAAGTGTCGAAGGCCCGCTGGCAAGAGGTCATTAACACACACCCGGGTGCTGTGGGTTGGCTGACTGAGATGACTGACTGGCAGATGCACCGACTGTGGTCTCCACGGTGCCAACTTTCTGGGTTTTAGCCACACGGCGCTCCGCTCGTTGTTGTGAGCGTTGCTCAATCGCCCTCCGTTGTTGCTGGAGGGCGACTGCCTCCAACCGCCCAGCGGCGTCCTTCACGAGCCTCGTCCACAGAGGCCGATCTTGACACTGACGCTACCGGTCATCGGCAAGTCCACTCAGCTCCACGTCCTTCTGCACCGCGTGAGCTCCTCTCGTCTTTAGCCGCTACGCACAGCAGGCGAACACACACATTTGGCCGATCAATGCGAAAATCTATGTGGAGGGAAACCCGGAGGACCCGGAGAAAAATCCAGGCGGAGAACGTGCAAACTCGAAGTATGCAGCAGGCGTCAAGGTCGGGATCGAACCCACGACGTCCTGCATACCATGCGAGGTAGTTAACATCTCGCTACCGCGGCGCCCGGTACAAGCTAAGTAAAAAAATAGATAGTCGTTTATTTTTTTATTTTAATCTTTTTTACACGCAGAGGGACCGAAATCATTTCACCAGTATCCTGTAGGAGAATGATAGCTGAATGAATGAGTCGATTGCCTCTTAACGAAATAACGATGGGCACTTAGCGCGCTTTGACGCTTTGACCACGAGGGGGCGCAATTGAATCAGATGTTTGGGGAAAGAAGAAGAAGCAGCAGAACAAAGTCACCGACTGGCGGCACCAACTTGGAAGAGCCGCGCGACCTCGAGGAGTTTGAAGCGCAAAGAGAGAGAGAGAGGGCAAGGATTGCGTCACCGTAGCGCAGTGCCCTTGTGCGGTGATCATCGCCACTGATTTGTGTTGTGTGGATGCTGTTGGATGTACGCACACATTGCACGGTGTATATTACGGAATGTGTGGTGTTGTGGCTGGGTGTTGTTGTGGCCACGTGTTGTGTTGGCTGTGTTGTTGTGGCTGTGTATTGTGGCTGTGTGTTGTGGCTGTGTGTTGTGGCTCTGTTGTTGTGGCTGTGTGTTGTGGCTTTGTTGTTGTGGCTGTGTGTTGTGGCTGTGTGTTGTTATGGCTGTGTTGTTGTGGCTGCGCGTTGTGGCCGCAGGGTTGTTGTGGCCGCGTGTTGTGGTTGCGTGTGGCTGTGTGTTGTTATGGCTGTGTTGTTGTGGCTGCGTGTTGTGGCCGCAGGGTTGTTGTGGCCGCGTGTTGTGGTTACGTGTGTGGAGCGGTAGTGTAGCGGTTAGCGCGCTGCGTTATGGACTTGGCGATCCGGGTTCGATTCCCGCTCACGGCTACCAAACACCAGATGACGAGTATCTGAAACCGGTCCTGGGCCTCTCCTAAGTCAACTCAGCCTCAAATAAGAACCTGGTGCTTTGTGTAAAATTATCGCCACTGGGGAGACAAAGGTGGCCGAGCGTGGTTGTTGGCCACCCACCCTCTCGTGTGCCGGCCTCCGTAGGTGTCTCGCTCCCAGCATTTGCCCCACCAGTCTGTTGAGGATATAAAGTGGAAATCTTTGCCCTTTTTTAACCAAAGTGTTGTAGCCCACACTGTTCGCTTGTGTTTGGTGATCTACTGTGAAGCCTTCTTCAAATGTGCTAACGTGATGAGGTTGCAGTGTCTAAACGACCGACAGAGGCGAGAGAGGGCCTTCGTCCAGCGGCATTGGCAAAGCTGTGATCTTTTTTTAATGTTCAATCATCCTCAACTTAGAGGCGGTTCAATCGAGATCATCCTCAACTTGTCAATAGAGTTCAGAGTCGGCTCCCTCGGAGCGGTTTCGGTGAAACTTTGCTCGAGTGGGGAATTGCAGTGGAAAAGTTGTTTTAGTGGCAACATTCTCACTGTGTTATAATTATAATCGAGGCCCCATGGTGAATCGTGCACTTTCAAACTATTTTATTATTCACCTTCGATCTGTGTGCTTACGAACAAACCCCGCCTAGTATCTATAGTACAAACTATACGTGTATGGTATATATAGTACGTACTATGTATATATAGTGTGCACTATACACATGTATAGTATAGTACATGTTATATATAGTACATACTATATATGTATTGTATATATAGTACACACTATATATGTATAGTATATAGTATGTACTAAATATACTTTTTTTTTCTCTCCAGGCAGTGTTAGTGACATTCATGTGTTGGCCTTTTGTTAACTGTAAGTTTTGTTTTAAAAGTGTCTTAATCTGGCTCTCTAATGTCCGTGCACGGTGAATAATAATAAGCTGTTGACAACACTACGAGAGAAACTCCGTGACAACAATACCCCGGCAGTTTTCGTTTGGGGTTTTTTTTGTTAATTGCCGGGCATCTGAGGAGGAAAACAACAACAACAAGAGCTTCATAGCTCATCGGATTCCTCCTGCAAGTCTCCAGAAAGATTCTGATGATTTATTGCCGTGTCTCTCTCGCTCGTGAGCTCGGAGCGGCAGAGAGGCTCGCGTTCGGCTGTAGAATGATGGCAAGGGACGCACGATCCTAGCGCCTTTGTTGCGCTGCCGGCTTACGTAATGCCCCAGGAACGCAGGCGCCTCAAGTGGCAACAATGGGCTTTGTCAATGAACCGCTCCCCCACCACCACCACCACACCCCCCCACACCACACAACCCCCCACCACACCACACAAACCCCCCACCATACCACACAACTCTTGACAAGTGAAACGGCGTCACCCGTTACGGCCAGCGCCGGGGACCCTGATTCACATTACGCGTTCATCGATGGGCCTAATTAACATAACGCTTGGCGGTGCTCATTAGCATAATTTAATCGGCGACAGAAAAATCTCCCCCTCCCCCCCCGCGCGCGCAAGTGAGGCGTGGCGGTGGGAGGGGGGGCGTGGGCAGAGTCGGCGACACGATTGGCCAAAACGATCGCGCGCGCTCATTAGCATAATTTACGCGCGTAATTTATGCTAATTATCACCTTCACCGTTAGCGAGGCCACGCCCGTCGCCGCCCCCGCCGCTCCACCCCCCTCTCCACGCTTTATGTTAATGAGGTCGCCGTCCGGGCAAGATGGAGGGAGGCATTGCGGCGCTGGCGGTGGCGGCGGCGATGCTGCGCTGATGCTCAGACCGGTGACGACCATGTCGACTCTGCTCCTCCTGCTGCTGGTGATGATGATGATCGTGTCGGTGTCATCATGGAGGAGCTCGACCCTGCTGCCGTTGCTGCCGCCGCTGCTGCTGCTGCTCCTCTAGGCGGACAAACATGCCGAAGAGAGGCAACGGCGGGCTGCCTCTTCCCAGCGGTTGGGAGGAAGCGAGGGACTTTGACGGCAAAGTGTTCTACATTGACCACAACACGAAGCAGACGAGTTGGATCGACCCCCGCGACAGGTGAGTGAGGGTTGTTGTTGTTGTGGCTCGGCTTCCCACCTCCCCCCCGTGCGAAGTCGCAGCCTCTCGCTCTCCCCAACGCCTTCCGTGCCGAACACGTTTTTGGTGGATGAAGTAGTCGCGTTGTTGTTGTTGGAAGTTGTTGTTGTTGGAAGTTGTTGTTGTTGGAAGTTGTTGTTGTTGGAAGTTGTGCCGGGCTAGTTCCGCGCCGGGATGCAGGCTGCTGCTGCTGCTCCTAGAGCTGTCAGAGTCGGATTTGTTTCTCCTGGAGGAATCCGATGAGCTGTAAAGCTCTTGCTTCACAGATGTCCACGACTTGTGGGCGTTGCGCTGCCGTTGACAGCTGTCTAAAGTTGTGCGCGGCTTGTCGTGTCCGTGGTGGTTAAACGTGCAGCCCAGTACGAGATAGCGATAGTACTTCTACTATAGTACTAATACTGTAGTACTGCTACTATAGTACTTATATAGTTCTACTATAGAACTGATCCTATAGTACTGCTTCTATGGGACTTCTGCTATAGTACTTCTACTATAGCACTGCTCCTATGGTACTTCAGCTAATGTACTGCTACTATAGTACTTCTACTATAGTAATTCTACTATAGTATTGCTACTATAGTAACGATGGACTCTCTGTACAAGTTGACAATCGGCGTTCGGAGTACCCCTGAGCGTAACGTTTCGTCGTATCGACGGGTTTCAGAGTTGAGCGGCGTTCCTGTTGGCATTGATGCACGTCGACGACGATGATTATGATATGTCGCGATGGTTGTGATAGTTTGACAAGTTGTTGTCATCAATTAGTTTATGATGATCACGATGTTTCTTTTTTTTTTAAAGACCAGCGATGCTTGTGCGGGTTATGAGTTGTCCAACCCGATATTCTTCCACCGCGCCAGTCCGTATCGCGATTGATTTAGCCCCGCGAGTTATTTACATCTCTGGCTTGCCAGCTGAGAGTGGCATGGGTTTGCCTGCTGAGTGTCGAGACGTGATTATTGATTTAGTAGTTATTATACTATCGGCTCGGTGTAGATTGTGCCGCCGTGATTAGTCCCCGGGAGTGACCCCGCAGCCTCGGCCGTGGCAAGGGAGAGCCACCCGGGGAGCGATGATCATCATCATCACGGTCCACCAAACCACAACTTGTTGCTGTCAACTGAGAGTTTTGGTTGTCGTTGTGTCTGCTGTGTGGATGGGTAGCGGTTGAACACATTCGTGGCCGTGAAACGTTGTTCTGATTGTCATTGTGCACTATTACTAAGAGCCTTGGTGAATACTGTAGCGTGCGGTTCTGCTCATTGCCCGTGGGTTTGTTTAGTGGGTGATGCTGCTGCTGCTGCACGTGTACAGCTATCAACACAACCACCACACGCCTTCGTTTTAAAACAAAATGTAATTTGTGGCGACGTTCCGGGCAATGACCCTGATATTATTTATTAACATAATTTTCTTGACATGTTTTACTCTACGAAATTTTACGCAGCATTGCCATTTAGATGTGACGTTGTTAATTGTACGGTTAAGCTAACGATGTTCTGCTCATTTAAATCAAAATTAAACGTTGTTATTTATGTGTTTTATAACTACACAATACGTGACAGTAAACGATAGTGATCGTGCTGTACCGCGTTAATGTTGACGTGACATGACGTGGTGGACTTTAGTGGCAGCTGATGAACATTTAATGGCAATGCTATTTTTAGTTTAAGGTTTCGAGCAATTGTAAGACCCTTATCTCTGACTTGGTATTGGCGTGAGAGAAGCTGCCACAACGATAACCTATGTTATTAATGAGGTGTGATTAATAAAAGCATGATTATAAAATAGAAATCGTTTTTTGTAGTATAATTACTCCAAAAGTTAGACGAAACACCATTGACTTTCCTATTTACTGTTCATTGACATCGTTTGCGTAGTTCCGGCACCATCAACCCGATAGAAACGCACTTTTAATAGCGATGTACAGGACTGTATCATTGATTTGCTAACTTGAAGTTTGTTTTGTGTTGGTGTAATGTGAGTAGTGCATGACAGTACGTGCGAGGAGGGTGCTTATTGTGGTGCTTGTTAAATGTTCGTAAATACTGTTATACGGAAATTGCAACGGTGTATCATCATTTGACACAATTTCCTTGATTTTTTTTGTCTCGACGAGAGGAACCTTAATATGGTATTGCTACTTTTAGCTTCACGTTTTCTGTTTTACTTTCATGTCGGGTAATGAATAAGTGTTTGTTAAAAGCGATTATGATGGCAGTCTTTCTGAAAGTGCCAACTAACTGTCTGTAATATTCCTGTCGTGACAATGCCATTGTTTTATATCGGAGTTTAAACAGCGTCACCGTTACACATTTAGTAATTAAGTTTATCGTCGAACTTGCTTAGTGTGAATGTGGTACATGATCACTTAATGCAATGTAATGAAATAGCAGCAGCGCTTCCGCTGTGTTAATATTGAATGCAATGGCAAGCAAGCATTCGTTAATAGGGGAACGTTTCGGGCAATGGCCCCTCTTCAGAGTACTAATAGAGAAGCCACTCTATCCCTTTGCCCTCCCTTGCAATGTGTGCGCTATGAGGAAGGGCTACTTGCCCGAAACGTCGCCTATTATATACTTTCAAGGCAACTTTTGTTTATGTGTGTCTGTGTTAATATTGCGCGGTTAACTTTGTACTTGTACATTATTTATTTACACCATTGACATGAACTTCACTTGATGCAGCATTGTTGAAGTTAAACCCATACCATTGTTACTTTTAACTTCAGGTTTGCTTTGCGTGGCGTGTAAATGTGTGTTGTGATAAACTAATACAAGATTATTGAAGTTAGCGATGGTAATGATCGTGTTAATTAAAGCGTTCCTACAGAATGTAACTGCATTAGAGTTTCAGTAGCATTGATTGTCTGGTTGATTGGCATCGCTGGGTTGGCGTTGACATTATTAACACATTTTGAAAGTGTGGCGATGAAAAGCACATACTCTGGTAATTGTACTGTATTAAAAAACGGTGTTGTAATGTCGATTGACTGGTATATTCATTTGGGCCATGATTTATTGAATTAATGGAAGTTAATACCGTATTATTAAAATATATACTAATTGCCGTATTTATATAATCAGTTTTAATTCAATGTAATGACTAAATACATGACTAAGATAGGGTTATGAACATTTGAGAGTTGTATATTAAACACTTACGTTGGTGCCGTGTTAATTCACTCAAGTTAGCAATAAATACTGCACAGTTGTACAATTGACCTGCTAATTCACTGACTTTTCTTGGACGTAGGTGATCTGATAAAAGTGAATAAAGTATTTTAAATAAAAAAAATATTGTTCCATTTATCTGCAAATGTTGTTTGTATGAGAATGTTAAGTGATTAAAACATGCTAACGAGAGTTCGCGTCGCTATCTAGTACAAGTATTAATACTTACGTCCGAGGTACATGAAGATGTATTGCCCCCTGCCGATGTGTTAATGACATAATTGGAATTCCATTGGCATGATCGTGTATTTAAAAGCAATTGCATTGTTGCACTTATAATGAAATCGCACAGTCGCAAAATAAATACACCTTTGTTATTTTTATCATCTAGTGTTTGTGTGTGATACCATTTGCTCATGAACAACATTGATATATATTATTGAAAGATAGTGAATGATTTGATAATTTCTGGAAGTCCATTGGACTTGAATACTGTTGACCATTCTGTAATTTATTGACATCTTGCCATACATGATGTGCTTGATTAGATTGTATGCGAAAGGTGTATGTAATCTTGCCAACATACCAACGTTTTTTAAAAAGTTAATTGTTCACAGTTTAGAGAGCAATGGTCATCCCTTTGTCAATCCACTGCTGGATGAAGGCATTCCCTATGCTGTGTCAGTAACGGGGGTCGTTTAACCATACTTCACCACATTGGTCAGTTCGGGTTGGTGAAGGGGTGCGAGGGGTGGTCGCCATATTGATAGAATTTGGAAAATAAAGGGTCAATATATATTTTTAAATACCCTGGCCACTTGAATGTTATATCGGGGGGGGGGGGGGGGGGGGGGGTTAGTGTTTTGGCCTTTAAAACACAACTTGAAAACAGGGCTGATTAGTTTCCACGTGTTATTTTTAAAGCATATTGTAGCATATGGGCTGTTTTGAAAGAATTTTGCAAATCCTTGCGATAGGATTGCCGTTGTTTTTTTTGTCTCCCACGCCACCTTAACAGATTCAATGTTGTGAGTTTGGTACCTGTTAGGCATGACACGACTACCGTACGTGGCGAGTGATCTATGAGCTGGGTCTGGTTCTTCCTCGTCACCAACGCACACTGGTGGCATGATGAAGTATGGTCAAAACAACTCCCATGACCGACACGACTTGCTGAGGTCTGCATCCGACAGTGGATTGACAACGGGTGTGAATTATTCTAGCGATTTTTTTTTAGGTGCATATTTTATTCTGTGATTGCTTGTGCTTATATTCTGATTGTGCATATCCATATGGATTGCACATGCAAGTACTTGTATATAATGAGTAAATTATATTGTGAAAATTGTATGTGACTGGCAGTGTAGTGATTTTTAAACGTGCATACGTTTCATTTTGTGTGATTACTTGTGGTGATATTCTAATCATGTATGTCCATATGTAGTGAACATGCAAATACTTGTCTATAATTAGTATATTCTATTGTGATAATAATATGTGACTGGTAGTGTATATTGAATGAGTTGTGGTTGATGGTGGTTATATCTCCATCGCCAATCTTACCTTGGCCTTGAGTCTTAGGCATATCTGCCTTTGATTCAAAGTGGACTTAACAGGAGCCAGTGTGAGTTGATGTTAACACAGCACGGAGGTAAGAAGTGTTGGATTGGCAGTGGGCTTACATTTTCTTTCTGTTATTGTTTTCGTTAATGTCTGGTTGCTCCTTATGCACGCTTCTGCGCGTGTGTGCCACAATGAGAACCATTATGCAGAAAAGAATCTTGGCGC